GTCTCTTGTTATGGCTCCACAGCTTTTGAGAAAATGTTTGGAGGAATCTATGGTTCCCATTTTCACCTATGGGTACATGGATGCACCGCTCTCATATTTTCTCTTACGATGTGCATTTTACTTGTATATATACGTCACTATTCAGTTTAATATAACACTAGAAACAAATGGGTACACCTCAATAAATTATGGTCAAATATTTTTATAAGGCTACTGATACAAAGTTCCAAAAAGGAAGACTGTTTTTGGCACAAAAATCACTTAATTCAGAATCAGGTGCTTTTGAATACGAATCTAGTGATACGATTTCCATATAATATAAATTATATATTATAGGTGTAATTAATTATTGTTCAAAACTTGAATCCTTAAGACTCTTGTGCGCCATACATTTTGCAGATATATTTGCTAGTTGCAAAAGCAAAAGGCTGAACCTAGGTATACTTACCCGAGAGTGTATAGTGTAGAACATTTTGTGGCCAGCAACCGAGTGATTGGCGTTGATGATCTCAGCACCTTCTTCCTCATGGATGGTGATTACCTCATGGAGCTTGATCGGCCTCTCCATGCAGCATATTAGTCTCACCTCCATGCTTGAATCGTCGTGTTGCCGCACCTGCAATACCGGTTCCGATGCCTCCCAAGCTTTCTCTTCTTCTGGCGACCCAGGACCACTGCTTGTGGTAGTCGTGGTAGTGGGCGTTGGGATACTAGTATCTCCTTTTAATGTGTCGAAGGCCTGCACGGAGCTCCTCCTACGTTGTAGCTCATCGACCCTCTCCTTCAGCTTCTTGATGTATGACGCCCCAACATCCAGGCTGCCTAGCTGGGTCATTGTATCCTGAGTACACATTAAAGGAACAACAACATGAAAACATTACATGGAAGAATTTCAATATTTATTTCTTGACATGATTTACTTCGCTCAAATAACCTTATATTTTTAGATGATGGAAGAGTTCTATTTTTACCGATCTTTGCATTGTGATGCACAATCACACATAATCAAACCTTTTGGATTACAGAATCATCTAACATAAGATCAATTGTGGGTTTTGTTCAACGATATGTGGTACCTAAAGCAATCAAGAAAAGACTTGACTTCTTGGTTAGTAACTTCAATGATATGTGGTACCCATTTTCTGAGGAGACACCTTGGTCCTAACTAGCTTACCAATGTTCATGTTGTCCATCTTTGGGGTACCGAAGTGGTTAGGAAAAGACTTGACCTCTGTACATCTAGATTCTTCTTGCAATCTGATGAAAACAAAAGAAAATACCGCCTAACGAGATGCGGTGTTATTTGCAGACCTATAGACCAAGGTGGTCTTGGTCTGGAGGATCTCAAAATAAAAAATAAGTGTCTGCTCAGCAAATCGTTGTTCAAGTTACTTACTGAGGGTGGGGTCTGGCAGGAGTTGTTGAGAAATAAGTATCTCCATTCAAAATCCTTGTCTCGGGTTCAAGCCAAACCCGTTGATTCGCCATTTTGGAAAGGTTTGATGGGGTCAAAAATATATTTTTTTTGTAGAGGATCCTTTGTGGTGGGCATTGGCTTAACCACTACATGGCTGGGGGACGAGCCTCTAGCTTTGCAATACACTTATCTTTAAAACATTGTGAAAAGGAAGGAGGTTTCTGTTGCATCGGTGTTGGAATATGTTCCACTGAATGTTGCAATTAGACGGTCTCTCATCGGGGAGAAGTGGATGGAACAGTTGGCAGTTGCACCTTATCAATAGATTGATGATGGTCACCCCCAATGAAGAACCAACACTTTTCCGTTGGAAGTTGATTTCCTCCGGTGTTTTCTCTTTGAAATCCATGTATACATACCTCATCAATGATGGCCTGCGTTTCATCGCAAGTATATTTCAAAGATTAAAGTTCCAACTACAATCAAGATTTTCTTATGGTAGCTAGATAGAAAAATGATCTTAACTAAGAATAACCTCAAGAAGTGTGAGTGACAAGGTTGCACAAATTGTTGTTTTTGTGGCAATGAAGAACAGATTCAGCATATTTTCCTTCAATGCCTTCTTGCCAAATTATTACAGTGTACTGTTCATGTCGTCTTTAATCTATCTCCACCTACAGGTAGTTTGAATATGTTTGCGTACTAGTTGGAGGGTATTCATCCTAGCATTAAGGCCCAGATTCATGTTAAAGTTTGTGCTTTACTTTTGGCTATGGAGAGTTGCCGCAATAATTGCGTTCTAACTTTTTAACCCGGTTGAATATTCAAACCTTTTACATGTCATTTTCAAAGCTATTAATTAGCTCCATACGTGGTCCTCCTGAGCTGGGAGGAGAGGGCGTTCACTGTCGCCGGGTGCTACTGATAGGAGATGGTCGCTCGGATTTTATTCAATCATTATATGGTTGGCATTCTAGTAATAGGATTTCTGAGGTAAGAGGATTCATATCTTTTTGTTACTTTTGGTTGATGTTGTTTTTTTTACAGCATGACCGTCCTACATGGCGCTTGTGTCGTTTTCTTCGGTTGGATACTGTAGAACATTGAATTAGATAAGGTAGGGCCATGTGCATCACTCCATGACCCGGGGTGTAATCCATCTTTTTCGGAAAAAAATCCATTAGTAGCTAAATATTCAAAATAAAGATCATGCCTTTTCGAGACGAAATCACAAGATAAACTTGGAGTGAAAAAGCTGGCTATCACGCTGCTCAGGCATGCTCCGGCCGCAATGAGAAGAGGCGTACGTGTTCTTACAGTGCTGGAGCAGCAGTGTTCTCTTGGGATGAGGGATGCGAGCTTCTCGCAGAGCCCCTTCATGCGCTTCCTCCTCTCCTTCTCGGACTCCTTCTTCTCCAGCAGCACCACCGCCGTGCCGCCGCTCGCCCTGCTCCGCTTCCCGCCCCTCGCCGGCTTCGCCTTCATCTCCATCTACATAGCTCACGAGGTAGAGATCAGCATGCATGCAGCCGGTATTAACGGGTATGAAGAAGAAAAGGGAGATACTGAGTTCAGAGCGCAGGCATTCATGGAGTAGCTCGGAGACCAAGAATTCCCAAGGAAGGAAAATGATGAGAAGGAGGACGAAGGACCAGTATACGGATAAGGGCCGGCCGGCCTATGGGAGTATGGGAAATATGCTATATATAAGGGCACATAACACGTAGCTAGTTTCAATTAAATGTGTGTAACTAAGTTATATGTGGCTATAGTAGTGCAATGCAATGCAGTACATACGTAACCGGAAAGTCACTTTTGATCCCCATTTTTTTAAGTTTGGAAATATTAATATTTATGGCTGAAAAAATCTGAAATTTTCTATACGTGCATATATAGATGTGTATTATATATCTACGAAGTCCCATGGTTTGTATAGGAGATGCAAAAATAATAATTCAATAGTATTTTTTTTTGTGACCAGATTTTTGTCCTATTTGTGTAGGATATAATATATTTTAGGACGAGTCTTAGGTCCCATCTAGATGAGAAATAACTATGTCTCATCTAACTTCTACACCGTTGGATTTTACATGGATATCCGTAGGGATTTTTTGTTTGGTTAATCAAGTAGTGTAGGATTAGATGATAATTAGCAAATCCGTATATCTTATTATTGGACAAAACTTAACAAGTGTATAGAGAACATTCATCCATATTTCTGTAAAAATATATTATTATGAAAACTAAAAAAACATTTTGAGGTTTTTAAAATGAAGTGCTCCAATGCCCCCTGCTTCGAAAATATCAGTGTTTCTGTTATACTAGCAACTTCGAAAATATCAGTGTTTCTGTTATACTAGCAACATAGTATAAACGTGCTAACTGGGCACATGTTGCTGTTACAGAAACATTCAATGTGGTGACAAAGTGACAGCGGCGTATATTTGGAACCATCGGTTAAAGACAAGCACATGGTTATCGGGCATGGTCCATACATGAACATTATTGAGTGCAGGTCCCCTTCCCACAAGAAAAAAGCAGTAAATATTTTCTGAAAAAAAGATGCAGTAAGTGGAATGGAAACCCGCCGCACAAAAAGCAGTAGCTACATATATTCCCGGATGCGGAGAATAGAAAAATATTTCTGGCTCTCACATTACTTCACTCCGAGAAAGAGAAATAACTCCCGTGCTCGGCAAATATTTCTTTTGCTATGTTGTTGCAATATAATTGAACTGTTTCCTGTCAAATTTGAGAGAAGCATGCAGCACACGGTTCATCATCTTCTGACCGTGGAGCAGGCAGCTAGGTGCACGAGAAGCAATGGAGACCACCACCTCGCTCTTTGCCAAACACTGCCCATCACGCAGGGACCTCACCCTACCACGCACACAGATCTACTACCATTTTACCATCTTTTTATCGCCAGTAAAATAGACTTGTTTTTTATTTCTGTACAATGTTACTGCCACACTCGAAGGGGGTCAACGCAAATACACTATGGCGTTGAGCTCAGTTTGACTAAGTATATGTCATAAGATAATATAGCATTAAAATTCATTCTGAATGGTATAATTTTATGGCACACAACTCATATAAGATTGTACTAATTGATAGTCAAAACAAATCGTAAATTGCTTGCGGGCCTCGTAAACCAAAAAGGAGGGAGCAAGCTTTTTCAGCATCAAGGTATATGACGTTGGCATAGCCAAGTTCAACGCCAGAGAGGCTGCCATTGGGCAAACGGTTTAAGTTTGGAAACATAAACTTTGGCACTCAGTTACTCAGTTTCAGCCAGGTCACAAAACGATGATACTGTTTTACGAAAATTTAGATGTGAACATTTCTAACCAACATACCTATACCCATGATATGTTTCAGATTCTTGGTAAAAAGATAAAAAATAAATTATCGTGATAAAAAAAAACAGGATTGATTTCTTTTGGAAGCTAGCTATGGCGCTTACACATGTCACGGAGGGATAGATGCAGACATCAGACAGGCAAACGTGTGGACGTACTAGATAATGTTTCTCACATGTGTATGCATGCATATGCATGCCGTCCAGATCGGTACGCCGTCGACAGGCCACAGGCGTAGCGTACAAACAAAAACAGCGAGCGCTAGCTACCAACGCAGCATCCATCTGGCTACAAGGTACGTATCTCCGTTTGTGAGCTGGCTTGGCTAGCATGGTCCAGGAGGCATTTGGAAACTTAGCTTTCCGATCGACTTAGCTACACAACCAGCCAACGATATGCTACATCTAGATAGAAAATGGCCACCGCCCGGAGCCCACAGCCAGCCGGTGCGAAAGCTACAGATCCCCACTCGTTTTAGTCATTGTTATGATCTCCTTTCTATTCCATTGTAGGATGATAGATGAGATGAATGTGGCCAGCAATTGCATTGGCCAACAGGTACTGTACACTATAGTTGAATACTTGTAGGAGCATAACTTAAGCTTCACGTGGCATGTCTATTGACACTCTACATCGTGTGAGTCAGAACTGTAGCTGTCTTTTGGTTTTCCATTTGTCTTTAAAATTAGTACTGTAGGCTTTTTTACATCGAAGACACATGTTGTTCTTACATCCTACATTATTGTTATTTCTTAATTAAACTTCTAGGTGAGTGAGTCTGGGTGCATTGACAAGTTTTGGAGTACCACATATTCTTCACAATAAGGGCAGCAAGATTATTGACTATGTGCACTATTCTCTCGATTCCATGACATCTCATCATTTTTCTTTGTGTTGGACCGGAATATAACTTTTGCAATAAAAGAAATAGAGCCAGTGATGATTGTTTTTACTCCCACTGAATGAAAATACACATGACGTTTCGGGGATTGACATGCCTCATACACCTTGTGTTCGTAAAATTGTACAAAAATATAAGATGTGGAACTATTTTCCATGCAAAAAACTGAAAAATATTTCACCTTATCCATGTGAACAGCTTTAAAAAAAATTCATAGCCAAAGTTACACAAGTTTAACAGCATGATTTTTTGGACAACATATATTTATCAATTTAGGTGATAACTGATTAGCTGTTTAGAAACAGACACTGTTGGGGACAAGTACATTCGCTCTATGTTACATGTTGTATCATGCATTGATGTGATCATGAACACGATACAACTACCAGTATTTTTCTAGCGTGTACCTGTTGGTAAAAATTACTAGAAATTAGATGTTATCATGCGCGTTGCTGCGGAAATTTATTGCAATATATTATTTTGGTGAGGTTTGGTTGTCTGGAATTTGAATATGAGAATGAAGAGACTACAAATACATAATATTTGTTGTATTTGATTATTATACAGTTATAAGATATTGATGGAATATATGTAGTATTTCTCACACATCTTGAGAGAAATAAAAGTACTGGGGTTGATGAAGTGGGAATGTGTGCATATTGAGAGAAATAGTATAAGTATCATTTTCCTTGAATGCATGTCGAAAGAAATAAAAATAGTACAGATTGAGGAGGTGGCATCCGTACATTTTGACATAAATAAAGTAGTGGGATCAACTACTTATGTATATAGGACATGACAAGATGAGCAATGCATTATATTAATAAAAACAGGAATAAAATTTGCACACAACAACTTCACATAACCGTGTATTAATCTCAGAGACATTATCTCCTCGGATCACAGGTGTATACCATATGACAGCCACCACTGGTACAACTCCTTGGGCACGTTGAGGGCCTCATTGATTCGGAGGATTCCAAAAATGTAGGGATAGAAAAAAAATAGGATTGCAATCATGTCCTTTTGAATCCTACATGATTATTTTTTGCGAATATGCATACCTACATGATTCCATAAAAAAACAAAGGATTCTTTCCAAGAGGTTTTAGTGGATATTAAAATTCCTATGGAAGGTAGTATAAAGGAATCCCTAGGAATAAATCCTATAGGATTCAATCATACGAATCAAACGACCAATATAAGAAAATTTGCCTGGGATTCTAATCCTTCAAATTTGCTATGAAAATCCTTTGAATCGAGGAGGCCACGTGGCAAGTCTTTTTTTTTTTGCTAATACATGCAGATTCAATTCTGAAAAAGTCACTCTGGACCTTTAAATCGTTCTCACAACCAGTTGCCCACTTGTCATAGCAATTGTATGGAGGCAGTGCAGCTAACTCGGCACAAGCATAAGGCGTGCATGAAAGTGCACATAGCAGCACTATGACACAGTGCACTACAATCCTCATGCAACAGATCTGTGCACAATCCATGTCACATCGCTTTCATGTTTAATTATGCAGGGGCCCCTACCACAATGCATATAGTAAATCAGAGCATTGCATATGGCATTGCCCAATCATTTGACCCATTTTATTGTCTGGTAAGAAATAGTATGACAACTCAAACTACTTCTTGTCTAATAAAGATGGTTATATGCATCCTAATGATGGAGAGGCAGGGGAATCCCCTTTTTGGGAAAAAATTACACCCTCAGTTTGACAAAACTGTTCTATTGTTAGTGACATCCTATCATCTATTCTTAAATAGTTTTTTTTCGATTGGCTATTCTTAGATAGTTGTGCATCAACAAATCATGCATGTCCGCCACACCATCAACATGCCAATCACTATCTATTTGTATATGCATGTGGCCCTTTCACACCAACAAATCACGAATCACTATCACACCGTCATAATTAATCACTCAATTATTAACATCCTTTGCCATATTATCCATTTCTTAAAACTCCATGTTCATCCGTGTCCATGTGGCAACATGCAGATTATCTTCTAGTATAACCAAATAGATGATCCCACTAACATATTTCTGTCACCATGAAACCATGACACCTGCAACCATGCTATTTATATCAAAAAAAATTACAGCTATACAATAATCAAACAATAAATCATATATATTTTCAATTTGAGTTCTCATATTATAAGTCCACATGTTCATCTTCTATGTATCGAATCTCATTGATGTATACTACAACTAATTCTAACTGCAACATGCGGTGCAGTGTATGTTGGTGCCACATTGATGTCAACTAGGGGGGAGGGGGCTGAATAGATGACTACAAGTTTTAACTTTCTTATTGATTTTAGGGATTGTGGAATTATAAGTTTCCTATAAATGCAAGTAAGGTTACTGAAAAGCTTTCATGTTGTGCAGATTTCTAGGGTGGTTCACATGTGTCGTTGACATGCCAATTATTCATTCCACGATGTCTTAGCTATTTTTAGTGTGCTCTTGCTCTTTTTGTTTCTGAAGAAATGTACATGGGCATGATCATTTGTCTAGACAATGTATTTGGCTACACTTATCGTAGTTTTTTGCACATAATTATATTTCCCTTCAATGGACCTAGAGGACTAAACCCTTATCATACAATTCATCCATACCATCGAATTTGGTAACTGATGCTTTGTTTCAACTGTAACCCAATAAATGTCTAAGGCCATCTACAACACTGACCAACAAATTTGC